TTTTTCTTGTTGTCTTCACTTACTCCAATTTTCTCTGTAAACTCTGAGAGCTTGGCTATCCTGTCTTCATATAGATTAGGCTGAGGTGACTCTGACCAATGAACTTGCATGTTTTGATACCTGGATACTTGTACATGCCTTTAAATTTAGGAAACTAATTCTTTGAATAATTTTCGAGCCCTTTCCATCTACTGGCTCCCTCCCCAAATGACAGCAACATCTAGAGCTTGGGTGGACTGAATCCAGGAGCCAGGAGCTTGCTCAGGTTCCACCATGTAGGGGTTAGGGCCCAGGGGTTTGGACCATCTTCTACTACTTTCCTAGATATAGTTGCAGGGAGCTGGAATGAAGTTAGAACAGCTGGGACTTGAATTGGTCCTCATATGCGATGTCAGCACAGCACGGCACTGGCCCCTACAAATATTTTTTTTAATTCTAATCACCTAAATAACTGTTCATTGACTCTGTTTTCCTCATTCTTTTTCTTTCTTCAATTTATCTCTTCATTGTGTATTTTCAAGTACCCTATCTTCTATTTCACTGATTCTTTCTTCTCTTTCATCTAGTGTGTTATTAATGTCTTTTATTACATTTTAAATTTCACTTAGTGTATTTATCAGCTCAAGAATTCCTGTTTGATTTTTTTTTAAACCTACTTCAACCTATTAAGTCTTTCTGGTATTGTAGTTGCCTGTTTCTCTGTGAGTACTCTCAATTCATAAACCTGTCTTTGTTTGAACCTATCCTATTGGAAATTCTAAGCAGGCTTCTCACTTTCTCTAAACACAGTCTCCCTGTCAGCATTAGATAGTGCCCTGTGGCCACCTTTGCTGTCTCCAAAATGGTGTGTTGTCACTGCTTTGGCAGTAGAGGGTGCCCATGCTTAAGTTTATCAATAAACCACAGCTGGTATATTGTTCTGGAGGAGAACCTGAAAGACATCTTGTGTCCCAGAAAGCTCTTGCTGAGCTGAATAGTCCCAGATACTTCAATCCCACAGCCATTTGCCTACCTTCAGAACTCTGGATTCTTGTCTGGTACTAAACCAGACATTAAGTCCCTGTATTTGTACTTCGCATATACCTGCATCTTCTCCTAAATGGACACTCTTCCCATTTCCCCAAATGGACACTTACTTTTCCACATTACACTTCCTGTGATTGGGGTACCAACCCTACCTTACTATGTCACACCTACAGCTTATCATCTGCTGAGACCAGTGTACAAGAATCAATGATACCCTGCATGCTACGGCGCTGAGCTCATGGCAAGAGATCACCATAGACAGATACAGGAGATGCTGTCCAATCTATGAGTACAGTTCTCTGCCTGGAACTGGGGTGAGTCCAGAGGCTCACTCTGTGGACAGTGGCACAAGGACAGAGGTTATTGGATCTGCCAAGCACTGGGTTTCATTGATAAATCAATGAGTTCTTAGGTTTTCTGTTCATTTTGTTTACAGATTATTTCACTCTTCTACTTTCAGCAAACAGTTCTTTACACTGTGTTATCTAAGGCCAGGGAGGGGTATTAAAGGCATCCCCTTAGTCACTGTATTATTTAAGATCCACAGGCTTGTCTAAGAGCAACCATTGTGGGCAGGGCCCTGGCTTGTGCCTACCAATGGTTTTTTTTTTTTTTTTAAGATTTATTTTTATTATTTTTTCATTGGAAAGGCAGATATACAGAGAGGAGAGACAGAGAGGAAGATCTTCCGTCCGATGATTCACTCCCCAAGTGAGCGCAACGAGCCGATACTATGCCGATCCGAAGCCAGGAGCCTCTTCCGGGTCTCCCACGCGGGTGCAGGTTCCCAAAGCTTTGGGCCGTCCTCTGCTGCTTTCCCAGGCCACAGGCAGGGAGCTGGAAGGGAAGCGGGGCTGCCGGGATTAGAACCGGCGCCCATATGGGATCCCGGGCGGCAAGGTGAGGACCTTTAACCACTTGCGCCACCGCGCCGGGCCCTACCAATGGTTTTTAATGTTTCAGACCTGCTAATAGATTTTTAAGTCCAAGTCTTAGGCTTCATTTCTACTACCCTGACTGAAATGTAACTATCTACCTTACATTGTTTGGAGAAGAGTATAACATGCCACCTTTTACTCTGTCTTCTTAAATGTACCTTTTATTATTATATTAAATTAGATATTGTGATCTCTCACCTAATTTACATTTTATTTTAAGGTAGTTGCATGGCTGAATGGCTGCTAAACTGGATGTTTCCACAGACAAATGATTGCTGGAAAGCCTTACTCTGCTTGTCCCATGTTATGGGTCACTGGAACCCAAATCAATCAGTGGTATTCTGGGCCAAGTGAAGTACTTGAGAGGTCTGTGCTCTTCCACTTCTCCTGAACTTTGATCAAAAGTTACAGAACAAGCTTTGACTGGACTTCTGAATAAGGATCACCACATCACCACAGTTGAAGAACAAGCACCAGACACTTTGGAGATAATCATAATGAATCAGAGAATCTCAATAAATTGAACCTACCTGCGTGAGAACAGCAAAACTTCCCAACTGATAGCTCCTACTGTTGTGCCATTTTTTTTCTGTTGAGATAAGTTATAGTTGCACACTGAAAGATTCAACTTGTATAGGTGTAGTTTTCATGATGTAAAAATGCTTTCTGTCCTGCATACTTTATAAATTCCTTTCTGACATTTTATTTGATCTTCATGTTATTTGCAAGCATACTGTTTAGTTTCCAAAAGTTTGGGAGTTCTCTACATATTTTTCAGTTCTCAAGTTTTAGTTTAATCATTTTCCTTTCAAAGACCATATTTCATATGATTGAATGTCTGCAAATTGATGGAGATTTTATTTGTCTAGATGAAGTTTATCTTGATAAATGTTCAGTGTGCACATGGGAAGAATGCATACTCAGTTATTATTCAGCAAATAGAGTATAATATCATTTTAAAAGTTAATAATAGTATTTTTCAAGTCTTTGTGCTTACCAAGTCTCTCTTTAATTACTATATCAATTCTTTTTTTAAAAATTTTACTTATTTTTAATTATTACAAAAATAGAATGACAGACAGAAGCATAAAGAGGTTGAGAGATCCTCCATCCACTAACCCACTACAAATGCTGAAAAAAACCAGGTTGAAACTAGGAGCCTGGAATATCATTTTGGTCTTTTATGTAGGCGGGAAGCTCCTAGATCTTCATCTGCTGTGTCTCAGGGAACACACTCAGGAGGCTGGATCTGAAGCACAGGTGGGAATTGATCCTAGGCACACTGATATGGGATCAGGGCATCCTGAGCTATTGCTCAATGCATTACATGTAAATACTATTATGCCTTCTTTAAACTCCTGTATCATGAATGAGTTTTGCATAGTTTAGGAGAAGACAAAGAAAAATTCCATGATGTGAAAGTTTTTATCCCAAGCAAATAGTATTTAGTGATAGCATAATTCTCAAAATGATATTATTAAGAGACAGGATTCTGGTGCTCTTATGAAAGATGTCCCAGGGTGCTGCCTCACCCCTTCTACTGTCAAAGAAATTATAATTTATTTTGTAGAAGGCTGACTTTCACAAGACATAAAATCTACATTAAGCTAGGGCTTTCCATAATCTAGAGCTAAAGCAAAAAAAAAAAAATCACTGTTTGTAAGACATCAAATTCATGATATTTTGCAAGAGAATACTGAACAGGCTAAGATGTCCTTCCTGACTCCTCTACTGTTACAGGGACGTGTGCAGTCACCTGTCATGGGATCATGGATGGGAATGCAAGGCTGTAACTGTGTCAGAGAAGAAATTGACTGAATTATCATCAATTTCCTATCGAAGACTTGCCCTGGAAGTCATAAGCCTTCAGTATTCTTCAGAGTTTTCAAATAGTTATTCCAGACACGTTTCCACATGTGAGTATTTGGCTGTGGAAATACATTCTTGGTTTTTCATACTCTGTAGTGATTTTGGAACCAACTCTTGCCATACTTGTAAGTTATATAAGATTTTGTTGAACCTGTTTTAAAACTCAGTCCAAGTGCACAATCATAAAAGTTTTGGGATGTCATGAGCACTAGAACTGTATCTTTATATTCATAATAAGCCCATCCCATCATATCTGAATTTGTAGCATGTGACTCTAAGACATTCTTACAACAGGACTGACGATGGCCAATCCAAATGAGTATCGGGTTAGAATTCTTAGTCCCATCCTCTGACCTCTAGAGAAGTAAGTAAGCATGGGAACTGAGCTCGATTCGAAACTCTTCAACGAAGACCTTTGTGGAAGTTCTGCGGTGACAGCATCTATGTGCCTGCTGGGTGGCACGTGACAACTGTACAAGACAGAAGCTTCTGCACGTTGCTACTCATTTGCATGCTTCTGAAGTAGGGAGCACAAGGAGTTTCCTCAAACCTCTGAGCTGTGATAGGAAATTTTCACATTTTCACATCTGAGATGTATCCCTCATTGGTCAAACGCGTGGACGATACTCATGACTAGTGGTTTACAAGGACAAGCTGTGAGACTAAACTTAAAATAGTCTGGCACATTACTCTATGCAGTTCCTGTCAGACTCGAGTTGCATCATTGCATAACCCAGTTGATATCTATACAGCATCAGAAAAAATAATTGCTGTCAGAAAACACCCCAGGCACATATTGGTAATTATAAATAATTTATGATTCTCATAATTATTTCCTGGTGATTCCTGATTGAATATTAGTAATTTTATTAATTTTAAACTTTACATTTAAAATTTCCCATAACCCTTATCTGTTTTTAATGTAGCTGATTTTTAAAATTCCATTGATTAATATAATCCTGTGTCTTATGGCTTCAGCTCTGTTCAAGCTCAAGGAAACAATGAAAGCAATGTAACAGATTCATTATTTCAGGTCTGTCTGGTAAAGTCACTAATACAAATTCTTCTTCAGTCAGTTTAAGCCAAAGATTAATCATAGTAGATATTAACTATAAGGGTATAAAGAGAACTACATAGTATGGTCTGTCATCTATTTACTCACTTCTCCCAGTACGAAAGGACAAGAGAAGTAGAGCCCACTGCACCTCAGTGCTCTAAGTCCAATAGATGAAACCATCTTAATCTAGTAAACTGACTTCACCGGTTGACAGATCTAAAAAGTGGAACAAATATAGAAACCAGTCGTGTCTGCAAGGCTGGGAGTCAGAACTTCTTGCTGAAGATATAGTTGAATTTGACTATTTTGGGATTTTTTTGGTTGCCTGAAATATTGCCAGAAGAGTTGAAGTTAACTTCAAGTTGAGTTAAACCATGTGTTGCAGGCAGATGCTTAGTGTAAAACCATGGGAACCTATTTGCTAGTAAATCAGTGAAAGTCCAGAAGTTTAAGATTTATTTATTTTTTAAAAAAATTTTATTGGAAAGGTGGATTTACAGAGAGGAGAGACAGAGAGGAAGATCTTCCGTCTGATGATTCACTCCCCAAGTGAGCCCAACGGCCGATGCTATGCCAGTCCAAAGCCAGGAGCCTCTTCCGGGTCTCCCACGCGGGTGCAGGGTCCCAAAGCTTTGGGCCGTCCTCCACTGCTTTCCCAGGCCACAAGCAGGGAGCTGGATGGGAAGAGGGGCCGCCGGGATTAGAACCGGCGCCCATATGGGATCCTGGGCGTGCAAGGCGAGGACCTTAACCACTTGTGCCACCGCGCCGGGCCCAGAAAGTCCAGCAGTTTAAAAAAAAAAAAAATGTCCACTCAGGAGTTTCACAGTGAAGTGATTCTTAGCCTGGAAAACACACACACACACACACACACACAAAGCTACTGTTTGCCAATGCATTGTGTTCTCCAGGCACATGTTTTGGAAAGAAATTCACTGCATGTCCCTGGACATGTATGCCACTGACAAGAATGCAGTCAGAGCCAAAAGAAACAAAATAAAAGCACACTGGAAAAAGAAGAAGAATGCTCTTCTCCTGGCAATGTCTGTCCAGTACTCTTTATTTACTGCCTTTTATGTAGGAGGAATACTTGAAGAAGCAGCCTCCAGGACCTCACTGCCATTAGGGATAGGTGAATTCTAACATAAGAAGCAGTAAGTTGTAGCTATCACACATAGATGTATAAGTCATACATGGATTATGCTAAAGTGAAACTTTTACTCTAGCTCTGTTTTTAAAAGGGGGAGTTTTAAGAACTTGCTATTAAGTCAAAATCTGTTTCTCCTACTCTATCTTACAGAGCCAAGTGAGTTGCTAACCATATCAGCTCTCTCAAAATGAAGAGCAAGGGAATGAAGAATAAGAGGATAACTTAACAGAGGAGTAAAAACGTAATTAAGGGTAATCTGAGGTTTATTTATTTGCTTTATTTAGGCCTTTGAATTTATTTTAGACACAGCCATAGATCAGCGAACAACAGCTAAACAATTAGCTAAGGTACAGTATATTTGATCTAAATAATGTGAGATGTAATATAAGACAACTTCTGCTGCTTGAATAAGAAAATTAGGGATCACAGAAAATAGAGCTAAAAGATCATAATCCGCACATAAACTCTTCCCAAACTGCCAAGGACTGAGGTACAGATGCGAGCACAGAATTCAAATTGTAAACAACCCCCAAAAGGAAACAGAAGGCCAGAAAATGAGTGAACCCAGATTTGAGCTTTTATCCAGGAATCAAGACCAGCAATTTCAAAAATAAAGCCATCACCTTTCCGTACTTGATTAACATTCCAATATTTAAGAATGGCAGGAAGCTTCATATAAGACAAGTATGAATAAATCTCTGAACATGTACATAAGCTCCTTGGGATGGTATAAAAATAAAACTCTAAAATACAGCAAAGGAATATGGCCAGCACATTTTATTGAAATGGAGAAGAATTCAAACTGTTAACTTCTTACTAGAAATTATGGAGCCCAGAGACAATGGGATTATTGTCTCAACATATTGAAAAGAAGGTCAGCAACCCACCATAATTTCAAGTATCAGGAAAATGAGAGCAGGTATGAAATTGGACATGATGAAAAATGTTTAGTGAAATTCTTCAGATGAGAGAAAACTAATCCAAATAGAAATTCAGATATTCCAAAAAGGAGCAAAGAATTTTTAAAAACAGTAGCTATCTATGAATATAAGGTTACTGTCATTCTTGATTTATTTAAAATGCACATTACTACAGCAACAATTCTGATTTTATTGTATTCTTTACAACTTATGTAAGTAGAGAATAGATAAGGAGACTGTTTGATGGGTTAAATTGCACTATGGTGTACCAGGGTTTATAAAGTTATACTAGACTACAGAATCTTAAAGTTATGTGTTTAACTGACAGAACAATTACAAAAATTCAAACCTATAATTAAAAACCCAATAGGTAAATGGTTTTCTAATTATATCAAATTAGTGCAAAAACCCACAAGAAGAAATGAACACAAGGTAAAACCAAGCAGATGAACAGAGACAAACTGGTAAAGCCAAATGCAAATACACTATTCATTTTGCTAAGTGTTAATGAGCAAAACACTCTAATCAGAACACATAATTGATGAGAAAATTATAATAATTTATGGTCTATGTAACTTACACTTCAAATACAATGCCAGGTAGCTTGAAAGTAATATTAAGAACAGTGACTCTACAACTCAATCAGTCAGGGCCCGGTGCGATAACATAGTGGTTAACATAGTGATTAAATCCCTTGCACGCCCCCGGGATCCCATATGGTCGCCGGTTCTAATCCCAGCGACCCCACTTCCCATCCAGCTCCCTGCTTGTGGCATGGGAAAGCAGTCAAGGACAGCTCAAAGCTTTGGGACCCTGCACCTGTGTGGGAGACCCAGAGAGCTCCTGACTCCTGGCTTCAGATTTGCTCAGCTTCAGCCATTGTGGTCACTTAAGGAGTGAACCAACAGACAGAAGATCTTCTTCTCTGTCTCTCCTCCTCTCTGTATATATCTGCCCTTCAATAAAAACAAATAAATCTTAAAAAAAAACCTCAGTCCGCAGAAATAGCAAAAATAATATTTCAGCTATTTCTTCAGTAAAGTAACAGTAATTGCACCTGAATGTTCAATATTTGTGAATATATTAATAATAAAAATAATATGAAATTGTAAAAATAAAAAATAAAATTATGCCCGTCGTTGTTGTTGTCTAGAAAGTTAAGGCACCACATACAATATTAACACCAGTATCCCATATTAAAATGTCAGTTTAAATCTCTATTATTATGCTTCTTATCTGGTTCCCAGGGAAGCCTGAGAAGGCATTGAAAGATGGCTCAAATATTTCAGTCTCTAACACTCACACGGGAGCCCATGTTGGAGTTCCAGGCTTCAGACTTGAGCCTGGCCTAGCTTTGCCTCTGGAGGTCATTTGGGGAGTGAACCAGAGGATGGGAGATTCTCTCTCTGTTTCCCGGGTTTGAAAAAGTCAAATAAATGTTCTAAAATATTGTTAGACTTAAAGAGAGGGTAAATAATTCCATGATCACACATATGAATTTTGAACAGCCTTATGTCATCAACTGATAGACTGATAGAAAATCAGTAAAAATATAACCTTATTGTATTTTAGATCCTATGTCTATTAACAGCACTTGCAGTCATTTTGATTAAACTGATCTATATGCAACAGTGTAAGTTCAGAGCATGAATTCTTTTCCAGGAAACTGGGAACATCTATCAAGATTGTATGATTTGGATTACATTATTTGGGTCTCTATAAAATTAAATAAACAAATGTTATACAAGATATGTTGTACTACTCCAAAGGAACTAAATGACAATAAGATCAGTGTAGAAAAATGCTTTTGCAAACTGAATGATGCATATCTGAATAGTCTGTGGACTACACAATGAATCATGAGGGAAATTAGAAAATAGTCCACACTGAAAATGATTAAATTAGAACATATCAAAACTTTTAGGATGCTGGAAGACTTCCTCAGTTGTTAAATAAAATTTTTGAAATATTTCATTGTTATTTTGGCTATATGCTACAGAAGAAGAAAAGTAGAAAATCAATGTACCAATGCTCTGTCTTAAGAAGCTAGAAAGGATGTCATTCTCAAAGCAAAGAAGGTAATCATAAAAATAAGGCAGTAAAATAAAAGAACTTGGATAAAAATGAAAAAAATGCATTGTTTCCTACTGACTTAAAACACTTTCATGGTTTGTTTTTGTGTTCAGCAGGTGAGTTTCCATGCTTCATGTTCTCTGCCATTACCAGGAGCTGAAAGTCTCCTCATGATTCTCATGTTGAGCCAAATCAACATCCCAGGTAAGTGCTTCTCAAATTTTAATGTCCAAATGAGTCACCCTTGAATTATATTCAAATGTAGGCTGTGATTCAGTAGCTTTGGGATGAGGAGAGTCTTAATTTCTGATAAGCTTCTATACCATTTGACTGCTTCTGCTTACCAGCCACACTTCTAAATTGGGATGCCCTGAACTACCAGCATAATGAGGTAGTGACAGCGCGTTGGGTTATAATACAGTTTTAGGGTATGAAGCAATTAGGGTTAGCACACTGCTGTTAATGAAGAAATTATGGTTGTAATTGTAAATTCCTATTTTCCAAGGCCTGAGCAAGTGTCAGTATTGATAAAACTTACCTCTACCTTGTTAATGCTAATGGATTAAACAGCACCATGAGCCTGATTATCTGTTAGCCAATTAAGATAAGCATTGAACTTGTCGTTATAGCATATTTATTGTGATTAGAACTATCGATGTATTCTATGTTAAATACTGGCCAACATATCAGTACACGATTTTGCCCTGAGTTGGTTCCAGAAACAACCCTTGAAAATGTTTTTTTAAAAAAACAACAATGGCCAAATCCTCCACATTATAAAAAATTGACATGTATCCTTCCTAGTGATAATATTGTAATTTCTTCCAAGGATCTGAGAAGAACTTATCTCCCGTGCCTTTAAAGTATGCAATATCTGTCACCACCACAGGCAGCTGTCTTTAGATGGCCCTTTGCTTTGCTCACCAAGCCAAGTCATTAAACGGCACAGATTCTATCTGCTGAGTTATTCCCCATCCAATCCTCTTCACTATCCTGCATTGATAACACTGCCATCGCTTAATTACTGAATTTTTCTCCTGGTACTTGTTTC